TTTAATATGTATTTTGGCCACAAAAACAAGTTCAGATTGCTCTTAATTGTATACAGATGTACAATAATAGTAGTTTAAGTGTTAAGAAGCAGCATTAATAACTCAATGTGGGTCCTGTGGTGGAGTGAGAAAACAGAGAATTTAATTGAATGTAATAATTACAATATAAACATTTAAAATAACATCCTTGTTTGAGTGTGGTCAATATTTATCTAAACTATATCCATATAGACCAGAGCAAGTTGTTGTTGTGACCGCCCCCCCCCCCCCCTTTACACGGTAGGCGTGGGAGTGGAAAACAAGCGCACCTGCGCATGACATCAGCATCTTTGTTTACTAGTAGCCAGGCGCAGCTAGCAGTAGCTCACTTCACGTCCTCTTTCCGAACACGCCTTAGCTACAGTTTCCTGTCGGGTTTGCTGTTTGATCTTACAGGCTGTGTAAGCTGTGTGCTCAGTTAGTGCTCGGTTTGCTTAATCAACAAATATGTCGCTAAACGGACCCGGAGAAGACTCCACGGACGCAAGAAGAGGCGATGGACAAGAGTGAGTCTCTGTTTGTCTGTTTGTTAGCTGCTTAGCGATTGTTATCTGTCGCAGCTTCTTGTTGTTCAGTGATGAGTAAGCAGTTCCACCTCTGTCCTTATCCCAGACTACACCTGTTACTAGAATATAATGTCACATTTTAGCTGTTAACATATATAAAGCTGTTGTTTCCAGTTCTGTAACCCTGTATCAGCGTTGAGTTGTTTAAATGATGTCCAATATGCAGCACTAATGCAGGCCTGTACACTAAAGGCTTCCTCTCCCATCTAACATTTAAAAAAAAAAGCCCCATTTTTTGTTTGTTTTTTGTCGTGCATTCCGTACATTGTGTTCTTATCTTGCATTTAAATGATGGACTGTGTTGTTGGTTTTGTCGTCTCTCAGGTCGGAGGCGTCTTTTTCTGCCTCTGCCCCCATGGTCGTGGACGCCAAGCCCAACTCCCGCAGCTTCAGATACAGCCTGAACTACCCCAGCATGGGCCAGTGCATCATCATCAACAACAAGAACTTTGACAAGAGAACAGGTGTTTATTTATTTATGTATTTATTTATTTATTTCTCTCATGTTTTACTTGGTGCTGAAAGTGTAGAACAGGTCATTACTAGTTAATAATGTTAAGAAAAAGAAGAATAACCTGGTGGTAACATTCACCTTAGGGATGGATATTTACCTGCTTTTTATGCACCCATGGTATTCTAACTCTAAACAGACAAGATAACGTTATATTTGTTACTTTTCATACACTAAAATATGAATTTAAAAAGAATTTATTGTAATAGTTACATGGTAATGAAGATGCTTACTTGTAGTCCCTCTTTTATGTGTTAATTCTCTCTCGATGTTGGGTTCAGGGTTATTTTCCAGCACCAAAAATGTCACGTTAGGTCTTAAGGAAGGGTTTTGAAATACAAGGTCAGCTGGCTCAGATGTACACTTATAAAACTTTAATTAGGAGTTAGAGGTTAACTGGCTGTAGATGTGTCTGTGGTATCTCTGTGTCCAGTTCCCAGTTCATTTACACAAGACACAAATCTTAACAGAAACTTCTCACTAACACCATCCCAGGGTACAACGAAGCAGGTCAATCATCCCACATCCACACCTTCATGAGATGAGTGTGTGCTAAGGGACCCAATTTAAACATGTTGCCGTGGATACCATTAAACTGCCTCCCCGTGCTAGTTAATTAGATGTTCAAGTTATTTTTGTGGCAGTCCAGTGTTGGCTTTAGAGAGAATGAATCAGGCAGTGGAACTAACCTTGTGTATGTACATCAATGCATTTGATAACACAAGACAATTACAGCAAACTGTCAGCTGCTCTTCAGGAAGCTCAAGTACCCACATGACATGCAGTATGATTTGTGATCCATCACATGTGTATGGTACCCATGGTTTGATTAGTTCCTCTTACAAGTTTGATGTAGGCTGTGGAAAACTCTTTGTGGGAGAATGTTCTGTATATTTATGTAATGGCCAAGTCACTCTGAAACTGTTCGTCTTGCCTTAGAGTGGCAGGATACAGAAAGATAGCTATTGGAGGTATTGTCAAGTGTGTCCTCAGGGTGTTCAAAAGCTTTTTGTGAAGCATAAAAAGTGTTTGCCCCTGAAGAATCTATAGGGGAATGTTTATCCAGTGCTTGCTTCTCTGAGGATAAAAACTGATGTCTACAGTTAATGGAGATTCTGTATGCGACCTTGAGTTGACCTTTATGGTCATTGTGCAATATAAGCTTGAAGAGCAGTCTCTACTATTATTTGAAAGAGTCTTTTTTTTTTTTTTTCTTTTAGCCCTTGGATATCAATGCAAGGGTATAAAGCTTCAGTCTGCCCTTATAGAGCATCAGAGTCACTGTCCGATGGTCTCATTTTCTCAGACTTGTGTTTGACAAACCTGTCTAGCAGGACTAACTGAGTACACATGACCGCCTGGTCTACAAACACCATAATGTTCCATGAGCATCATATGAGTGGGGTGAACATCAGCAGTGGTTAAGCTTGTACTGCCACGTTTATTTGTTTCAAGCTGTTCAACCAAGAAGGTATTTCACACTTAGACTCCCACGCATGTTTCCAAAAAAAATAAAACGGCAGTATTTTATGTAAAAGCTAGCAGGCTACTTGTGGTTTACGCCTCACTTTTAGAAACAGAGCAGGTGGTGACAGTTAATGTGCTCTGTCAGTCTAAAGGGGCGTTCAATGCAGAACCCAAAGGCTCCAAACAGATAGTGGGTGGGTGGCTGGTGACTTTGTTTAAAATGTAGCAATCTTAGGCTATGAGTAAGAGTCAGACCAAGACTCAGACCAACAAGATGCACTAAACACGTATAGAAAGGCGCAAACTTAAAATGGAATTCAGCCATCATTAATTTTATTATTTAAACCTGTGTAGGTGTGTTCACTTTTCTGGCTGATTAGGTTGAGGATATGTGAGGTAACAAGACGTCGTGTATAATAAGAATGGGTGCACTCCAAAATCCCATCGTCGCAGTGCCGGTTTGTGCAGGTTGGACGAGGTTTTAATTTGAATTCAGCACGCAAAACATCAGATGCTGCGTTACGCAAATCCATGGCTCTGTGCAGCACATAAACAAAATATAAATATAAATAATACAAACTAATGAAAATGTTTTTCACATTGCTAGCCATTACTGAATCCAAATGTAAAACGTTTTTTTTTTTAAACTAACAAACTAAAAAAAGATGAAAAGAATAACACCTGCTGCTGTTTGATTATCAGCTGACAGAGATTTAACGTCATACATACTGCCTCATATGCCACTTGCACTCCATTTTACCAGGTATCCCCGGCCAAATGGAGTGCAACCAATGATAAACAGTGTAATTTGTCCCGCCAGGAGAGAGGTAGATGTCAATCAAGCACTGTCAGTCACTAGAAGAGGTCTAATAAAATCACCTTTAAGATTATTGGGAAATAAATAAGTATGTGCTTGTTTATCAAACTGCCTACTGTGTGCGCTATTGGTTGAATTTAGTTATGAGGAAGAAAGAGCTGTTGGTTACTTTAAATTTGTTTTTTGGTATTTTTTTTGTGGTTGTGTTTTCGTTGTTCTTCAAGTAACCAGAACACATTTCTGTGCTTTGTTTTTAAAGGCATGAATCAGCGAAATGGTACAGATGTGGATGCCGGCAACGCGATGAAAGTGTTTACAAAGTTGGGTTATAAAACGAAGATTTACAATGACCAGACAGTTGAGCAGATGAAACAGGTTTTAATTTCTGGTAAGTTTGTGTACACACACACACACTAATCTTCCCTTTTTCACCTGCTGTCTTTTATATCATATTGTACAGAAATGTATAAAAGTGTGTGTGTGTGTGTATATATGTGTGTGTTTCTTTCAGTGTCAAAGGAAGATCACAGCTGCAACGCCTCATTCGTCTGTGTTCTGTTGAGTCATGGAGATGAGGGTGTGTTCTTTGGTACGGACGGCTCAGTAGAGCTTAAGTACCTAACCTCACTTTTTCGTGGCGACCGCTGCAAATCACTGGTGGGGAAACCCAAACTGTTCTTCATTCAGGTATCATAAGAGTTTTTTCCCCCCCTCCTGCACTAACTTACTTTGCTGAATCGTCTAAACCTGCAACCAGGTCCTGTTTTGTTTGTGTGCATATTGATTAGGCTTGCAGAGGCACTGATTTGGATGCAGGCATTGAAACGGACAGTGGAGAAGATGGCACTACTAAGATCCCTGTGGAGGCTGACTTCTTGTATGCTTTCTCCACAGCCCCAGGTTAATACTTACACACACAAACACAGGTTGTTTTGTATACTCCTTGTTTCCTTTTTTATCTGTTGTATTGATACACCCTTTACTCTATCACTCCTCTGTGTACAGGTTACTACTCCTGGAGGAACACTACGACCGGATCCTGGTTCATCCAGTCACTGTGTGATCTGATCAGCAAATATGGAAAAGAATTGGAGCTCCAGCACATCATGACACGAGTGAACCACAAGGTGGCAGTAGAGTTTGAGTCAATCTCCTATTCACCAGGCTTCCATGCAAAGAAACAAATCCCATGTATAGTGTCAATGCTGACCAAAGAGATGTATTTTTCTCCTTGATGTCGTCTTTGCTGTAGAAGCCTCGCCGGCCTTCGTCTGCAAAAGAAAGGCTTGAGGATGTGTATGAGGTGGTGTTTTTCAGTTATTTTAGTTTACACTTTCAAATTGAACTCTTGAAACCTCAGCTAACATATTTCTGGGAGAGTAGATGTGATGCTAAATTCACATTTCACAAGCTTGGCATTTTAGGGGTTTTTTTTAGTGGGGAGTACAGTTCTAAAATATTAGGCATTAAAATGTGTATCCCTGCAGTGAAACTATTTTGTATTCTCTTTTTAAACAAACAAATATCATGACTTTAACAATGTAATTGCATGCTCACAGTTTTCTACCAGTACATGCCTGTTTACACTATATACATTTCAGGGAATAATATTGGGAACCAGTTTGATAGGAAATTTGACCTTCTATATGTGTTTAATCATGAAACCATAGACAGGCCTCCTGCACTCCAGCATCAGCGTTTTTTTATGAGTCAGCTGTTTATTTTAACTCGACTGTCTAAGCAAGTCTGTTATGCAAGGATCATGTGTTTAATTTCTGTGCCTGTTTTTTCTTTTTACATTCTTGTTTTTTTTTTTCAGTGTACTGACAATAATCATTCACTGGATTAGCACCTGATGAGTTGTATGAAGCCTTACACTTACACTCCGTAGAGACATTGATGGATAATGTTGTGTAGCAAATTCAGGAGCATCCACTACACTAAGAATTCATTTTTAATTATGATGTTTTTTTCCTTTTCTAAATGTGGATTTTTTAAAATTAACTGTTGTCTCTCAATGAGCAAGGCTTCGTAGCATGCATGAGTAAAGCCAGCTCACTCGCACACTTGCTGTTATTTGAGGCACATTTTGATGAGGAAGTCATATCTGAACAACTTACATTTCATATTTGGCTAGTTTATTTATTTCGTGTGGTTTTATAACAGGCAAAATGGCAAAATATATGCCTTTTCACTTTGATTTAATTGTACACTCCTTAAAATATAATTTCCAATGGGCTGTTGTGTAACTGTGATACAAACTTTTATATGTAACCATCAGCTTTGAAAGACTTACAGCAAAAAAAAGCACAATTTGATTGTGTAATGATCCAGGTCCTGGTGATTTTGAGTAAATATTTCTGTACTTGCAGCAAATAGGCTGAAATCACTGTTGCTGTTCAAATATTTCACTGTTACTTGACCAGTTTTAACTCCTATCAATATACAACATGTTGCGCTGAATGTCTTTTGGGCTTTTTTGTGGTATCACTATTTTGTAAGCAGCTATACTGTGAGGTTGGTGTAATGTTCTCCCTGATAAAGACCACTTTTCATTGTTTAGTGTTGTAGTTTTGTTCATATCTCATACAATTGTCTACAAACACAGTAAAGAGTCTACTTGTGTACACTTTCTTGAGTGTGAACAGGCAGGATTACTCCAGATTTGGCATGCCTGGAGGTGAGAAGAACTGGGCCACCAGATCCTGAGGCCCTGCGCCAAACAAAACTGGGCCTCAGATTCCTTCGCTGCCAGCCCAGACGCACTTTACCTAAACTAGCTTTCACAAACAACAGGCCACTTATTACCTGTTGGATGTACTAAATATAAAGACTCACAGCGGACACTTACACAACACCTACATACGCCAACAATATATACCTCTAAATCAGACGTTAACAAATTGCACCAGGATATTGCATCACGACATTCATTTCAATATTCTTTAAAATGTTAGAGGCCCAAGGTGTTTTGTCTTGTTTTGTTCAACCAATACTCCAAAATTCCCAAATTTCAAATTTACTAAAATGTAAGACAAAAAAAACCCCTCAGATTCTCAGGTTCTATACTTGCAACTTTCAAATTGTGTCATTTTTGCACAAATATGAAAAATTATTTTTATTTGAGATTTGATAAACGATTAATTGGTTATCAAAATAGTTGCCAATTAGATATCTGTAGATCGACTAACTACAATGAAGTGTCAGTCAATATGGGGTTGATCTGTAAACTGCAGATTAATTATGAGTTGTTCCAGTTGGAGGTGCTAATGAGACAACTAAGAATATATCTGTATATAAACCAATAAAAAACCAGCAAACGCCTGAACCACCTTTTACATTAGAGTGCAATCCAGTACCACAGTCCTGTTATAAATACTAACATTTTAAGGCACCTTAGTGAAACTTATTTTAAGGTGTACATTGGATTACATTATATAATTAGATTATAATATGTTTGTCCCTCCATATATGTGAATGAGGTGGACAAAATAATATCAACACCTTTCAATAGAGGCAACATCAAATACAAACACACCAACAATAGTCTCAGGATGAGGCAGCTGATGGTGTCTTATATGATTGTGTCATTGGTTGGTTTTTGCACATATTTTTATAATATATTTATATATATATATATATATATATATATATTCTATCATTATTTTATTATTACTGTGCTTTATATGTAAGCATGTGTCTGTTCTGCGTTACCTTGCATGTCCCTTTGTGGCAATAAAGTTAAAGTTGCGTTGATATTGTATTGAATCCTGCAGGTGTTTCTCTTGTTTTTTTCCAGCCACGTTTCTTGTCATATTATTGTGTTGTCCAACCATTTCCTACATTTCCTTTTTGTGTTTTTAGTTTTACATTAAATTGACTGTTTTAATCGTTATATCTCACCATAAGATTGCTAAACAATGTCAAGACTTTGGTGGACTTCCAAAGTAGAAAGTAGCAGTTTACGAGTAGCACCTGAACGCAGCACAAGTCCTCGCCTCTTTCGTCGCTGAAAATAGGCCCTAATACTCTCTGACAGTTGGCGTTAGTTGGCTTCATTGCGCGCCGTGTCAGGTTGCACATTTCCCTGATCTTACATGGAGCACCTGCATTAATTGCGTCGTGCTGCAGACTCTGGATCAGCTCCGCGCGTTTTCTTTTTACGCTGTTCTCCCATTTCTTCAACATGCCTAAACCAGTTAGGATTATCGGGCCGTTTTTTTTGTTTGTTTGTTTTTTTGGGGATAGACACGTAACACTGCGTGCTCTAAACAATGCCCCACAGTCAAGAAAACAGTAGTTTTCTTTTGATTTCTCATGTGGAACCAAAAGAAAGTTAACTTTGCCTGAAGCAGGAATGGAGAAGTTCCTCCAGGTCGCTCCGCACTCTCTGGCTCTGGTGCTGTCGCAGGTTTGCGCAGAAGATAAAGAGGACCCCCCATCATCATCATCATCATCATCATCACCGGCCGTGCTCTCCCTGAAGTTACAGCATCACACCGGCTACGAGGTATTCGCCAATTTCAAAGCCGTAAACATGCAGCATTTCTGGAACAAGGCGCTGACACACGCTCTGTCCGAGATCTTCTTCCTCGGCTGGATTGATGAGAGTGTGCTGCTCATCCAGGGGAAAGAGGTCCATCTTCAGGTACTCAGGAACGGATGGACCAGACGAACCCTGAAACCACCACAGGGCTTTGACATCAAGTGCATAGGTGGGTTAGAAGTTAATTAAGACAATTAAGACACATGCATAACCATGTTATTACAGTAGAGTTGCACAGACAGTCCTTAATGGAAGAGTGGGTGATTTCTACTGGTTTCCACTCATATGTATGGGAACAATGATTTTGGGGGTTTGGTTTGCAGCATGATCCCAAAAAGAGGCACATTAAAGCACTATCATCCACCAGTAACAAAGAAATATCATCCAGACACAATAGCAGTAAACACAAGCGTTTACAAGTGTTAACAGTAAGTATAATGTGCAGTGGCAATAAAGTGTAATTAAATCTGGCAAATCTTGGCCTCCAACCACAGTGTCTGTCAGAATGAATCGACTGGATGACATAAATGAAATAATTTAAACTTTGAACTCCTGTTGGCCTATTAACTTGCATGCCATTTAGCAGTACTTCCCTACTGTACATGTCTGTCCAGAGCTGTAGACCCCACACTTGGAGATGGACTTGACTGATCTCAGAATTCACTTACTTGAGACTTGACTGCCTGAAGCATTGAGATGGCTTTAGACTTGATAGCAAAACATCCAAGGACTGAACTGCAAAACAAACTCAAGTTAGAGACACTAACTCCTTGGAGGGACGGTTGGGTTCTGCTTACTGATGTTTTACTAAAACTTATGTATGTTTTAATTAATGACTGTAATGACCTTTTGTTCTCTCTTGTAAAATACATCTTTATCTAAATTAAAGAGGCTTCCCTAAATAAAAAAAGTGAACTAACTACCAAAATATTTGAAGGACAATATTCAAATGTTGTGTCATTTTAATGATCAGCACTAAGAGGCCTGAAAGACTTGCAAGAGCCTCACAGCTTGACTTGACTTAGACAAGAAATCTGAATCTTTTAGAGATTTAGATTTGGTTTGAGAAGTGGACTTTTCTGGATTGACTTGATTGACTCGAGTCTCTCTCTGTCTTTGCAGTTTTTTTGGTCTTTGGCTTATGTTATTATAGTTAGACTGTTAACTTTGATCATCTAAATACCTTTCTGACAGATTTACCTGCAGTTTGTGGCTCTCCAGAGCTCTGCTGGGTGTTTCATCCTGATTTCCACACCTCTTTAATAGCTAGCGAATGCTGCTGATTGGCATTCAACCGAATATTTCCCTGAGGTTTTTATATGATATTGTCTACTCCCTCTATGACCCAAGGCAACAGTTCAGCTGGCAGGTTGCATGAAACCAGTTGAAGCTAGTCTGATAAAGATCACCTTATAACCTCAGCAGCTTCATATCGTGCAGACCTCCTCATTTAGATAGAGGAGCCAGTCCTTAGGCCCAGTTCTACTCCAGCTCAACATTCCCACACTCATACTCAGCTTCTTCTGTCAAGGCTATAACTCATGTAGGCCTATGTGCTGGGACAGGTTTGTACGACTTGTGGTATTGTCTGCAAGTCTAACCGCTGCACCCATCATACTGCCCTCACAGGCTTCCCCTTTTTGTGTATGTGTGTGAGTGTGTGTGTGCGTGCACGTGAGAGAGGCGTGCAGCATGTCATGGATCACCTTATTTATGTCTGTTAGCGTTGAAATAGATCCTCAATTTAGATCATCAGAGAAACCTGTAGCAGAGAAAACAGAAAAAGTTATGGAGCAGGAGGAAGGGATGATGAAGATGTGGTGAAGCCTTAAAGGTGCAGTGTGGAACATTTTGGATATACTGGCAAAAAAAGGGATATAATTTTAATAGGTATGTTTTTATTTGTGTATAATCACCTGAAAATAGGAATTGTTGTGTTTTCATTATATTAATGAGATGTTTTCAGCTACAGAGGGAGCGGGTCCTTTTACACAAGGGCCGCCATGTTGAACCGCTATGTTTCTTCAGTAGCCCAGAACAGACTTTCGTGTTTTTCCTATAGTTTCCAACAGGCTTGGAAGGCTGATGTGTATTCAAATGGTTGCAATCTGCAACTTCACTGTTGCCACTGAAACCTACACACTGCACCTTTAAATCTTCAATAATTACAGCTGCTCTAATCAATATTTTTATTTAAAAAAAACAATAGATTTAATTACTATGTGTAATGTACTCTGTGTACCCACAGAAGATTATCGCCTGACCTCAGCTCTATCAATCGTGTTAGTGTCTTTTCGCTCATTGTTTTGGTTTAAGGGCAACTTTACTGATTTTATTTACACTTTCCTCTCATCAGCAGCAGCTCTGTGTAAATAGACTGGTGCACTTTTCCTGGAGCAACTGCAAACTCTTTGTGTATATTGTTGTTACAGTATCTTACACACTCTCAACTTAAAGTTTTATTAAACCATTTGTTTGTGTCAACTCAAGCTGTAGCACCTACTGCTAAGGCACTGACCAGACTTCTTTTCAAATTTTAGTGTGTATTGAATGTTCAAACAGCTCCTTTCATGTTATCAGATTTCTACATTGAGCTGCTAAATATTGATTGAATTAAATTGAAATGCATCAGTACTTTCGGGGCTGTTAGTCCAAAGGTAAATCTTAAAATAGATTTAGTGATTTTGTGTTGCTAGTTTTTTTGTGTCTGTCAGACATGACGTAACTTCACACTACTGAAGCAAACACAGATAAGCTGTGGAATGTTTGTCTTATAGCTAATAACTCACCAGACTCTCTAATGCCAAAGCCAACAGAGCTTATATGCTGTTGGTCCAGATACAGATATAGTTTTTGTGTGACCTGTTTTACTGCGAAACCCATAATCTTGAATAGATATTAACTTGGAAATCAACTCAGAACTGAACCAATGGTGAAAAGTCAGACAATGGATGTAACAGTCTCATACTCACCTGTGTGGTCACCACATTATTGGGCTGCATAATCAATCTGTAGTTTAATAGTAAGTTCATGTGAATTCAACCAGAACTAAAATTTTAACCATTTTGCCTGTTTGAGGTTACCTAAAACAGCTCCAGCATGTCTATAAATCGATTGTTTTGGTGGATTTTCCCTTTAAAGTACTCAGACATTTTTAATTGGGGTGTGTTTGTTAACCCTAATGGAAAATGTCCTCAAGTAATGACAACACTATACAGATGAAAACCACTGCAGTGTAGATTTTCTAGTATGACCTGCACGTTTTCTGTGTGACTCATTTTCTTAGCTGAAGTGTCAAGATTGTAGTTTGTGAGACAAGTTCAAACACAGTTCAGACAACATAGGCTGTCCATTAACTATGTGTGTAAAAGGCAGGCATTTGGCAAGATGTGTACTTGCATAATTATAGATAGATAATTATAGATATTGTGTTTTTGTACATATAATTGCATCTGACAAACCTTGAACAAAAGACTTTAGGAACAACACTCACAGATTCCACCTGTGGTACATGTTTACTCACACATTATTCATTAAAAACAATTAACAGACAATACTAGATTATTAAGTCTTAGAAGGCTGAAATCATATTGTTATGAAATTAGTTTTGATGTCAGATTATTAGACATATAGTGCATTTACTCATGCAAGTGTTTACATAATGCAGATTATCCCCCAAACGGCCTGAGAATGTTTGATTAGGGCTGAGAGGCAAAATAGGAGCTGGATTAAGACATTTAGACAAAAGTTGTGGATTTTCAGCTGTGTGGAAACAAAGTGTTTTTTAAAACTGACAATTCAGTCTGATTAACTGAGGGACTTTGTATCCGTTAGCAGGCTATTAACAATGGACTGGGAGGAGTGTGTGCTCTTAAGGAAGGAAAAGAGGAGCATTTGTTCAGGAAAACACTATTGCACTGCATTCCCTGCTATAGGCCAGGTTTCCATTGGAAGGAAAGGGAGGGTCCCAGTAGAGAATTGGGGGAAATGTTTAACGCAGCAGACAGATTTTTTTCTTGTATATCTTAATGTCAGATCAGCATGTGTTATGTAGGCTGTTGTGGCAAAAATAGTTTGTGTCTTTATTCACTGTCTGGCCTAGAGAGCTGACTTTAAAAAAGGCATGTGTTGTCATAAATGTTCCACTGGAGGGCAGACCACCGGCAGAAATGGCCCTGTTTGCAAGGAAGTTGGATGAAGTTGTAACAGGCCACAAATCTTTTATTGTCTGACAGCTCAGGACTATTGTCAGTGACGATCCCACTACTGATATGTTCATCTAAACACAAGGCAGCCTTAGTATAGACATTAGGGGTTCAGAGAGAAATGTCTTGATAACTAATGAACCGGTTGTGATAAAATGTGGTGTAGAAATTCATGTTCCCCTCACGATGAAGTGTAAAACTGGTGATCCACTGACTTCTCATCTGATGTAGGGCTGCATGATATGGTAAAAAAAAATCATATTGCGATTGTTTTGACAGATATTACAATTACGATACGAGTCACGATTAGTGGGACTGATCATTTTTGCATCACAATTTTGATTTTTTACTGAAAAACACCAATTAAAATCATGATGACGTTTGTTTGGGTCTTTACCAAGTAAACTTCTTACATTTTGTAAGCCTCTGCAGCACTACAGTACTTCAATATAATGCTGTTTTGTCACACATTTGACCTTTATCCAAAAAATGGAGCTTCTGCTATTTGGATAGCTATTGCATTTGGCCGTATTGTGAATTTGAAAATATTTTGATTAATTGTGCAGACCTAATCTGCTGCAATCATCAGGTCAAACGTTTAATCCGTTTAATACAAGTTTTGACCTTATCTGCAAGGCTAACTAACTAAGCTCCTCTTTGTTTAGTGCAAACACACTAGCTAAACATGGTGGTAAACATTATGCCTGCTAAACATCAGCTTGCTAGCATTGTGAGCATGTTAGCATGCTGTTATTAGCGTTTAGCTCAAAGTACGGCTTTGCTGTGGCTAAGTACAGCTTTACCGAGCCGCTAACATGGCTGACTGTAGGAAAACAGCCTTTTGTCAGATTAACCAGCCACGTAATTTTAAAATGTGATTTTATTGTGCTTGGTAAACCTATGAGGGCTTGCTTCAATAATAAACACACACAAATCCCCTATAGGGCTGCAACTAAGCATTATTTTCATTATTGATGCATTGATCCTTATAGCCTAGATTAAGGTGTAAGAAAATAGTGAAAAATGTACAGTTTCCTACAGCCCAAAGTGATCTCTTCAAATTCAAATTGCTTGTTTTATCCAACCAAGAGTCCAAACCCCAAAGATATTCAGTTTACTGTATTAAATCCTCACATATAAGTCAATGGAACCAATAAATGTTAAGCATGTTGAGTTATCAAAATTCTTTCTGAATCATTTTCTGTCCACCGACTAATCGATTAATCGACTGATTAACTGCTTCACATTTGGAGTGAGCAGGATTTTCCAGGATATATCTAGCGAGAATTGAATCATTGTTGTCACTGTGGACACGTGTATTCTTTCCACTGTCAGGACATCCTGCTCTTTTTTCCACACAGTTGGTGTAATTGTGCCTTGTAGTGCACAAAGTGTTGAAGGATCTCAATTTCTCAGCAGTGATGCAGTTGAGTATTTTTCTGTCCATATAACAGACAGTCAGTCCTCGTCTATGTGGTGTCTGTCTGCTTCTATCTTGAGTAACTGGCTCTTTAAGGGAACAGCACTCAAAGGTAACAGCTATGAGATCATCGGCTTGCGTCGTCATGGCAACAAAGGCTGTTGCAGCACTACTGAGAAATAAAATGGCTGGCGTGGTGTTGCTGTCCCCCTCCTCCTCCTCCTCCCCCTCCTCCTCCTCACCCCTCCTTCCCTTCCCTTCCTCTCCTCTTTCTCTTTGGTATCAGTGAACTGGAGCAGATTGGTTGTGACACCGTCCCCCCCTCCACCGGTGCCCCGTCCTGCCCTCTCACTTTGCTCCTTATTCTGTCCCTCCAACCGTCCATTCACACTCCACACATGTGAGTCAGCAGGAGTCTGCAGCTAGCAGGAGCTGCCACTCTGGACATGATTAAGGTGATGCTTTGGGTTTTTTCCTTTTTCATTGACAGCTCCACACAGTAGTAGTTACTGAATCAACCGGTGGAAAAGCACCAACGAGGAAGACACAAATCGGCACCTTTAAAATGATTCCCTTTGGTTGTGGCCTCTGTCAGGTGTTTAGCTTTGGTCTTACAGGTCAGGTGAGACCCACACAAAAAAAGGGAGGATGGTGGTTTAAGGGGCCCCTCATACTTCAAGATAGAGAGCTAGTAAGACAGAGAGAGTGAGGGAACAACAGAGGGTGAGGATGGAAAATTCAGCCAAAGATTCAGAGTCTGAGCTATTCCCCGGACATCATCTGAGGGCTGAATATTTTTATTTTTTTCTTGTGTGTGTGTGTGTTTCGAGCTGTTGATATTTGCTCTCCTCTCTGCCTTATGTATGTCCTCGATCTCTCTCTCTCCCTCTCTCTCTTTCTCTCTCTCTTGCATCCTCTCTCCTCCCCTCCCCTCAGCCTCAATCACCCAGACACAGACGCATGCATGCTCACGCAGAATCGCGCGCAGCAGGCGGATGCGCGCATACACACTTTCTCTCTTTCTCACACACACACACACACACACACACACAGGAATGCATATACGTAAGTGTACAAGACAC